TGATGTTTCACCAAAAAAGTCTGCATATGATGTGATGCATGAGCACATGTGTGTCTTGTGATGAAGCTGCCAATCACGAGTTGCCCGTAGCTGCAGCCTTCTGAATTACCCGAATAGATTCTGCAGAGGAATGTTTAAGCTTAACACAAAATTTAATGCAGATTTGTTGCTCTACTTGCTCCATCATTTTGAATGTGACTGCTACACAGTACACATGCCCACTCAATGGTAGTGTCTACTGCCCCCACTGACTAGTACAGTGAAGTCATCATTGTTCATACATATACATTCTGTCCACTCTCCTTGGATGCCAGATTACATTGATGTCACATCAACTGTTCTTATTATATTAACAATAGCTGCACTTTTTCCAGACAGACTTCATATATAGCATAGTATCAAGGTAGGGACGATGAGAGGAAGGAGAGAAAAATAGAGTGACAGAAAACATCAAAATACCAAACTGTACTCAGCATTATCCATGAAAATTTTCTATCTAAGGATGCAAGGTTTTTAATGATTGTGACTGGAGAAAAAACTATTAATGATATTTATTCCATTTATTTTTAATTGCTTAATTTGTCAAAGTTTGAAAATCAAAGTTGTTAGGCATTTATTATTAGAATTCTATTTACAAGTATAGCACATTTACAAAGTACTTCTAGGAGTACTTTGAAAAATGATTGTCCCAAATTAGTTCATTTAATGCATTCAAACATTGTAAATGACATTTGTAAATTTTATATTGTGTTTTTAAGTGCTCCATTTGTCTGGTTTAACAAAATTATTCTGGGAATAAAATAATTCTTAAAATCCAATAACTTAAATGTATCAATATGATGACCTAAAGTTTTCCTAGACTTTCCAATATCATGTACAAACATAAGATTTTGACATAAGACTTCAAATCATAAAACTGAAATCCTGCCTGACTGGTGTGACTCAGTGGGTTAGACATCAGTCCCACAGACTAATAGGTCACTAGTTCAATTCCCAGTCAGGGCACATGCTTGGGTTATGGGCCAGGTCCCCCGTTTGGGGTAAATGGGAGGCAACTGATTAATGTTTCTCTCCCTCTTTTTCTCCCTCCCTTCTCCTCTTTTATTTATTAAAAAATAAATAAAAATAAAATGTTTTTAAAAATGTTTTTAAATCTTATATCTCAATCAATTTTTTTCTTGTAAAGCCTCTTTTGGGGGGTTTTGGGAGGATCTGATAATAAATTTATTGAGGTGACATTGATTAATAAATTACATAAGTTTCTAGTGTACAGTTCTGCTACACATCATCTGTATATTGCTATGTGCTCACCACCCAAAGTCTAGTCTCCTTCCATCATCATAAGTTTGACCCCCTTTACCCTCTTCATCTTCCCCTCACCCCTTTCTCTTTGGTAACCACCATGTTGTTGTCTGTGTCTATGAATATTTTGTGTCTGTTTGTCTTGTTTATTAATTTTTTGTTTGCTGTGTATGAGTGAAATCATATGGTTCTTGACTTTTTCCTTCTGACATATTTCATGTTGCACAATATTCTCAAGGTCTAATCATGTTGTTATAAATAGCAGGATTTAATCATTTTTATGTGTGAGTAGTATTTCATTGTATATACACACCACATCTTCTCTATTCAATCATCTATTGAAGGACACTTCAGTTTCCATGTCTTGGCCATCATGAATAATGATGCAATGAACATAAAGGTACATATACTTTTACAAATAAATGTTTTCAAATTTTGGACGTAGATACTGGAAGAGGGGTTGTTGAATCATGGAGTAACTCTATTCTTAACTTCTTGAGGAGCCACAGTGCTGTTTTCCATAGTGGCTGTACCAGCTTATATTCTCAACAGCAGCAAATGAGGGTTTTGTTTTCTCTGCAAACATCCAGCACTTCTTATTACTTGACTTGTCCATAATAGCCATTTTAACAGGTATGAGGTATTAGCTCACTGTAGTTTTGATTTGCATTTCCCTAATGAGTAGTAAAGTTGAGCATTTTTTCATATATCTGTTGGCCATTTGTATTTCTTGAGAGAAGTGTCTGTACAGGTCCTCTGCTCATTTCTTAATTGTATACTTTTGTTTTTAAGTTGTATGAGTTTTTTATATATTTTGGATAATAACCACTTATCATAGCTGTTGTTTACAAATATTTTCTCCTATTAAGTTGATTGCCTTTTTGTTTTGCTAATGATTTATTTTGCTGTGCAGAAGCTTTCTAGTTTAATATAGTCTTATCCATTTATCTTTGCTTTTACTTCTCTTGCCTTTCAGGTGAAATTCATCAAATCCTAAGACCAATCTCTATAAATTTAGATTCAGTGTTTTCTTCTAAGTTCTATATTTAGGTCTTTGATTCATTTTGAATTAATTTTTGTGTATAGTGACAAATAGCAGTCTAGTTTTATTCTTTGCATGTGGCTTTCTAATTTTCCCAGCACCATTTATTGATGAGGTTTTCTTTTCTCCATTTTATGCTTCTGGATCCTTTATCAAAAATTATTTTCCCATATACATGTGTATTTATTTCTGGGCTTTCAATTCTGTCCATTGGTCTGTGTGTCTGTTTTTATGTCAATATCATAATAAAGTCCATATATCACAAACCTTTAGCTAATATAATACTCAATGATAAGAAAATTGAGAGCTTTTCCTCTGAGATCAGGAACCAGACACTCTCACCACTGTTATTCAACATAGTACGGGAAGTCCTGGCCTGGCTGCTACCAGGCAAGAGAAAGAAATAAAAGGCATCCAAATTGGAAATGAAAAAGTAAAATTGTCACTTTTTGCAAACAACATGATTCTTTATAGAGAAAATCATAAAGACTCCACAAAAAAAAAACTATTGCAAATAATAAACAAACACAGTAAACTTTCAGGATACAAAATCAATGTACAAAAACCTATTGCATTTCTATATACTAAAAATGAAATTTCAGAAAAAGAAATGAAAAAAAAAACATTCTTTTGCATTTTTGACAAAAAGAATAAAATACCTAGGAATAAACTTAACAAAGGAAGTGAAGGACAAATACCCTGAAAACTAATAAACATTTATTTAAAGAAATTAAAGAAGACACAAAGAAATGGAAAGATATTCTGTGTTCACAGACTGGAAGAATCAACATAGTTATAATGAGCATATTAATCAAAGCAGCATACAGATTTAGTGCAATCCCCATCAAAGTTACAATAGAATTTTTAAAATTTGTATGAAATCACAAGAGATCCTGAATAGACATGTCAATGTCTATGCAATCAATTTTTAACTGCATATTCTAGACTGAAATCACAAGACTGCTACATGAATAAGCTAAATTCTCTTAAGTAATACAAGTATTTATGGTATATAAAATGTTCACAGATTATTTTTCTTAACACAAAAATATTAGTACTCTGGTTTCTCTTTTGGTAAACATTTTGCATTCAATCCTAAATCTTCCTAGAATTAAAGGAGATAAATCCCAATTAACTAAAGTTAGAGATATATATATTCTTAATTGTGAAAGCTACACACCCATGAGGAAAACACCATCCAGTTACACAGAATTCCTTTCAACCTGAGATCTTGGCCAGGCATGAGACCTTGAGCTGCAGACATCCAGAACAAGTCTTACCACCTCAACTTCAATACTAGTGTTTTTCATCATCTCTATATCACAGGCTTCAGAATAGCAATAAAAGGTCAAGTTACCTAATTATCTGATTACTCATAGAAGCCAGCAATGGTTGGCAGTCTTCAACAGTCAGGTGGGCCTGGAAAACTTCCTTCCAAGAAATACAGAGCCCAGACAGCCTATGGTGCTCTTATCACCTTTTATGAAAGTATTGTTCCCTATTTTGAGTTAAATGAGTGCTCATTTGCTCTGCTTAATTGTGTATGTAAAGGGCCCTCAAACATGCTTCCAGCTTTCAGTATTTCAAACCCCATGAGGGACAGGGAGTGGTCCTACTGTGGCAAGAGGGGGATATACATTGGCCAAATACCCTGCATGCCTGCGGGGAACTAGCTGTGAGGGACCAGCACACAGTATTGGAGCTGTCAGCATTGTTCCACACAACACTTGACCGTGTTATGTTTTCCTTCAGAACTCTGACACCAAAATACAATATTTGGGGTCCTCCCTTGAGACTGACAACCAGGATACCATATTTTGCCCCCCAAGGCTGATAACTGATATAAGATTTTAGTCTCAACAGCAACTCCAGTCTCCACTGATTCTTTGATTTGTGTATCTTTGACTCTTAAAACATAAAGATAGATTTCCAATTGAACTCCTGAAGTCCTTTGAAGTTAATGGAATAATGTGTACTTATTTTTTTACCTAAATAGAAAGACCTGGAACTTGATAAGACTGTAAGATCAATAAATACCTTTCCCCACTACAGAAATCTTGCATTATTTTATTTTTGTCTTGATCTTCAATTTTTCAATTCAATTCTGAAACCAATTGAATTTTGGGTCCTATATGGTGTTTCTTACTTGTGGTTGCATCATGAGACCTTCACAGCCCTTCCTGTCTCTAGCTTTTTTTGTTTGCTACCAAGATTCTATTGCTCATATCAGGACCTTTATTGGCATTTTATTCTGCATAGGTCTGGGGATGCACTGTTCAAAGCCTCTTAGAGGAAAAGCACTCTATGGTCGCTCTTGTTAGGAACAGGAAACATTCTTGAACAACCCACAGTTCTAACCCTAAGCTTAGAATTTCAAGATTTTTGCTCTGGTTTGGACAGGAGCTCAAGCTAAAAAATAGTTGCTGATTGCAGGCAGTAAATCAGCTGGACTTTAAAAAAAATCATAGCATGCTATACATATAAATGATCTTAGTATTGCCTTCAACAAAGGATCTAAAACCTAAAGTTCTCTAAAGATCTAATTCTTCTTTTATCCTTCTCCTGATGCAGTCTTGAAATCTAACTTACACATATGCATGCTACCAACAATGAAGCACAAAATTCTATAGTTTAAAATACTTTTATCTTTTCTCAGTTTCTACAGGTAAAGTGATCTGAATTGAATGATGCAAACACAAAAGAGAAACTGACAACCCCCAGAAATGTGAAAGGAGGTTCCTTACTGGATAGCAGCATCTTTGGCTCAAGTTATATAAATACCTAAATAAATAATAAGAACGGTATTATTCGATCTTAGAAATTTTATTTCTTCTATGTTCTAAGCTATATAATTGTCAGGTTTTTATGGTTTAAATTGTAAATGTGTGTTTCCCTTTGCTAATTATGCTTGGAGTTTTTTTGTCTTAAAATGTGAAAGATATTATGAATAATAAGGGAGACACTGTAAACAAATGTATATTTGTAAAAGCTATTTTTATGACTAGCATGTTTTACCATTGATCATATACAAAGTCAGGTGATATTGCAATTCTATGTTTAAAGCTTATTTCCAACAATGTTATGTAAGAAAAGATACATCATATGCTAGTTTTTATAATTTATTTTTAATTTATAGTATAAAGGACTTCAAATAATAAGGATAAAATACTGAAAAGGTTATATTTCTGCCTTCTATAAGCATCATTTTTATTAATAAAGAATATAAATATTTCAGATGTGATTCAAGAGTTATAGGATTGTCAGTTTGACCTGTGATTAAATTCAGTATTCTCTGATTTACTGAACTGTAATGACCCTATTGATACTTGGTACTTCAGTTGGGGTGGGAGATTCCATGGACAGATTTTCATGTTAATGCAGGTGAGAAAGTAAAGGATGGTCTTGTCTTTGGATCCAAACATTTAAATTAGTGTGGACATCCCTTCACTCCATCTCCTGTGACAAGGAGTTCTCCATCCTTGAGCACCACAAGTGTTTTCAAGAAACTCCTAGTTGTTGTCTTGTACTATGGAAAAGGCCTCAACTTCACAGACTGTAGGAGAATTCAGTGTATAACTTTTTAAAATTTTTTCTTTAACTTTTTTTTATTGATGTTCGAGTACAGTTGTCTCTATTTTCCCACCACCACTTTCCCCCACCCTACCATGCCCACCTCCCACCTACAATCCCACCCTACCTTAGCTCCATTCATGGGTCTCTCATACAGGTTCATTTATGTCCTTTTCCCTTCTTTCCCACGTTATTTCCCTCTCCCCTCCCCTCTGGTTACTGTCAGTTTGTTGTTGATTTAAATGTCTCTGGTTATGTTTTGCTTGCCAGTTTATTTGGTTAATTAGGTTCCACTTATAGGTGAGATCATATGGTATTTCTCTTTCACTGCCTGGCTTAGTTCACTTAGCATAATGCTTTCTAGTTTCATCCATGCTGTTGTGAAGGGCAGGAGCTCCTTCTTTCTTTCTGCTGTGTAGTATTCCATTATGTAAATGTACCATATTTTATTGATCCATTCATGTACTGATGAGCCCTTAGTTTGCTTCCGGCACTCGGCTATTGTAAATTGTGCTGTTATGAACATTGGGGTGCATAGGTTATTTTGAATTGGCATTTCAGGATTCTTAAGGTTTAATCCCAGCAGTGGGATACACTGGTCTAAAGGCGGTTTCATTTTTAGCTTTCTGAGGAAATTCCATACTGTTTTCTACAGAGGCTGCACTAGTTTGCATTCCCACCAACAGTACACTAGGGTTCCCTTTTCTTCACATCCCTGCCAGCACTCATTGTGTGTTAATTTGTTTATGATGGCCATTCTGACTGGTGTGAAGTGGTATCTCATCATGGTTTGAATTTGCATCTCTCTGATGGCTAGTGATGCTGAGCATCTTTTCATATGTTGCTGGGTCCTTTGTACATCCTCCTTGGAGAAATGCCTGGTTCATTTCCTTTGTCCATTTTTTAATTGGATTGTTTGTCTTCCCTGAGTGGAGTCGTGTGAGTTGTTTGTATATTTTGGAGATCAAACCCTTGTCTGAAAGTATCATTGGCAAATATGTTTTTCCATACAGTTGGTTCCCTTTTCATTTTGCTAATGTTTTCTTTAGCCATGCAGAAGCTTTTTATTTTGATGAGATCCATTTGTTTATTCTTTCCTTTATGTCCCTTGCTCTAGGGGACATACCAGTGAAAACATTGCTGCATGGAATATCTGAGATTTTTCTGCCCATCTCCTCCTCTATGACTTTTATGGTATCACGACTTATATTTAAGTCTTTTATCCATCTTGAGTTTATTTTTGTGTATGATATAAGTTGGTGGTCGACTTTCATTTTTTTGCAAGTAGTTGTCCAGCTCTCCCCACACCATTTGTTGAAGAGGCTATTTTGATTCCATTTTATGTTTCTGTCCCCTTTGTCAAATATTAATTGACCATAGAGACTTGGGTTTATTTCTGGGCTCTCTACTGTGTTCCATTGATCTCTGTGTCTGTTCTCATGCCAGTACCAGACTGTTTTGATTAGTGTATAATTTTGTAATAAATTTTTCTTTCCAAACAAAGGTGGTGTGTGTCTTTCTTTTGGTGTGCCCTTAGTTTTAATGTTCAGTTTGGATTATTTTTAAGTCACTGTAATGCCAGGATATCAGTGCAGTAATGAAAGTAGTGTAAGTTTACTAAAATATATATGTCTGATATGCCCACACTCTTCATTGAGTGACTTGTGGAACATGTGAATTTGCCATGGGATAGAAAGCCAGGTGGCAGCCCTCAGTCCTTGATAGAAGTCACACTCTAATTTACACTTCTTCTATAATGCATGTTTTTTTAATCCAAACATAGAAATGAAAGCAAAAAAAAACTATTTTCTTAATAGTTAAGAAAACTATTCTGGATAGAAAGCAAAACTATGGCAACATAGGCATTTATGTCCAACCCAAACTCCACCACTATATTTGCAAGTTTCTCATTAAAGAGCAGAGAGAACATATGTAATGTCACCAAGATACTTAGTTGGATTGAGGCCTCATTTTAACAAAAAAAAAATATTGAGTGTAAGATAAGATTGATATGTTTTATTTTTGTACTTTAATCTCTTTTAAGCTAATTTATAATCTTTTTCTGTGTCTTTCAAATATAAATAATGAAAATTATACAATTTCATCCACTAAAAGTTATTACAAAAAACTGAAATAGTAAAAACATTCATTAGAAATTTGCACACTAAAATTTAAGGCCTTGATTCTAGGATTTCCCCTCTAGGGAAATATGAAAACCATAATGTGTACATTATTTTCGGTTATAGTTAAGATGCAAGAATTTGTGACTGCTATGACTGAATTCTCAAGATGAAGAGAACTTGTATTCCTATAAGATAATAAAATCAGCTGAGTGATTTCTTGGTTTTCTGCCAAACAAATACATGTGCCTGAGATGACCTGCTGCTCCAGAGAGGAAGTGTGTCACAGGTACTAAGCGTTACCAAATACATAGGTGGATACTTTTCCCAACATGGTACTTGTCTGTCCTCGTGGTAATCAATAAATAATGTAACAATTATAATATGACATTATTATAAATTTAGAGTATAATACTTTCCCAGACATTCATTAACTGTTCTCAAAATGAAATAAATAATTAAAATGTGTAAAATCATTCTCCATTATTGGGGTTCACTTTCTCCTATCAGGCCTTGACTTTGGACATGGTGGGTCTTTCCCTGTATAGTTACCAATTCCTAACTTCAGAATTCTTTTTGATGACAAAGGTGGAATAATATATATTCCAGAGTAACAGAACATAGATTGTTTGGGATTACCGTCCCTGAAGGTTTAGTTTAATAAGGTAAAAGGAAGCTTTTAAGAGATGAGGAGGGAAGCATGGACTTCTAAAAATGCAATTAGTCCCATAAAACAAAATACAATTAGCCCCATAAAACAAAAATGCTAAAGGAAAACAAAGGGGTATTATTCACTGTTTTCAGTTCAAAAAAAAAGTGGGAAAATAGGCCACCACTTGGGAAGTCAGGTTAACTGGTCACTAGTAACAATGTGAAGGGAAAAATACCAATTTTGCTTACATTATCTTCAACAAAATAGTTTTCAAACACACAATAAATTTAGATAGAAATGAAGCAGAAAATAAAGAGGAAACTATTTTAAATGGCTTAAAGTTCAGAGAACAGGAATTACAAATGCAAATGCCAATAGATAAAAAATTTAAATTAGTGAGCCGTGCCTGAAATGAGTTAGTGGACACTCAATGCATCTGTGTGGATGAGGAGACGGCCAGCTCTCCATTCCAGGGACTGCCTGACTCAGAAACTCAGACCTATACTGGTCAGGTCTCCTGACTTTTCAACACAAGGTAGACATCCAGAGTTTCAAATGAGTTATCCTACTTTGTTTTGTTTTAATAAGAATCTCTAGGTGAATGAAACTATATCTGTGATTTTGATCTAAGATTTAATAGTTGTAAAAGTTTACAAAGTAAACTTACAGTAATGAGAAGCAACAAATTTAGGATTACCTCTGGTGAGATAAGAGACAATAGAATAGGGGTGTTCAATAAAATCCATAACATTTAATTTATTAGTAAAATATTTAAATCAAATGTTTTTTTTAAGATTTTATTTATTTTCAGAGAGGGAAGGGAGGGAGAAAGAGATAGAAACATCAATGTGCGGTTGCTGGGGGTCATGGCCTGCAACCCAGACATGTACCCTGACTGGGAATCGAACCTGTGACACTTTGGTTCGCAGCCCATGCTCAATCCACTGAGCTATGCCAGCCAGGGATTAAATCAAATGTTTTGAATCAAACAAATAGCTAACAAGTTTTCATAAAACTAAAGATATATTACTTTGAAAATTTCCTGTCTCTCCAAAATAGGGGAACTTGAAGTTCTGAGAGAAAATTCTGCTCAAAAGCACTACACCCAGCAAACTTGCAATAATGTGTGAAGGCACCAGATATATAAAGACTTAGACCATAAACTATTCATACTGAAATCCTAAGAACATTATGAAACAATTTACCTGAAATATTATACCACATGATTAAAAACAAAGTACAAGAAACATTTTTAGAAAAAATATCTAATGAAGACCTCAATTTAATGAGAGTTGCATATACATAATTTTTACAATGATATTTATAAAGTGGAATATAAAATAGCAAACAGAAACATTCTTTAAAATATGATTTATAGCTAAATATAATTACAGCTAACAACTTGCCTTTATAATTTCAAACTGAGTTAATACAATTGATTAAGAGAAGACAAGAGAAGGAAATATGTTAAAAGAATCCTTTTGTGGACAACAAAAGGGTCACATACTGAACCTGGCAAGCTCAGGGGAGGCCTGTGTGACAGGCTTGATAAACTCAGAGACCTAAAGTAACCACCTAGGATGGTCTGAAATTAAAACTTCCTAACTAAAAGTGAGTCATGGTGGGTAGTCACATCCTAGGCCAATATCTTCCTTGGCAAAGATCAATCTTTAACTGAGTCTCTTCTTA